GTAACCAGGGTATTGTAATAAATGCCTGAATTTGGTGGTGAGCCGGTGCCACTGGGAAGGGGGCTTTAACTGGGGTATTATAATAAATGCCTGAATTTGGTGGTGAGCTGGTGCCACTGGGAAGGGGGCTTTAACCGGGGTATTGTAATAAATGCCTGAATTTGGTGGTGAGCTGGTGCCACTGGGAAGGGGGCTTTAACCAGGGTATTGTAATAAATGCCTGAATTTGGTGGTGAGCAGGTGCCACTGGGAAGGGCGCTGTAACCAGGGTATTGTAATGAATGCCTGAATTTGGTGGTGAGCCGGTGCCACTGGGAAGGGCGCTGTAACCAGGGTATTGTAATGAATGCCTGCTTTATGCAAGAGTTAGTCACCATCCACACTGACGGAAGGGTTGCAGCTCTGGTGGTTTTGGGCCATTGTGCAGAATGACATGCTGTACTCAGAGAAAGGCTAACAGGCATCCCCCACTTTGTGTTGGGAGTGACTGTTGGTCATTTCCTGGCCGCAGGGGCATTAAAAGTGCACCTTTCATGGTAGCAGGCTTGTCCTTTGTCCCAGAGTGCAGTCACAGGCATCGCTGATGTGCAGTAACACGGGTCTCCCTTTTGTTTCAGCAGGTGGCGGGAAATCCAGACCAGCAGGAGGATGTCGTGGATGAGCAGTACCAGGAGGAGGGAGAGGAGGAGGTAGAGGGCTGAACGCCGAGACTGGTCAGATTGCCCGTCCAGCACACTGACCTTATCAGACACAAGCAGCGCTGCCTCAGACAGGCCTTCCGTAGAAACGGCCAGGGCGGTGTAGAGGAGAAATGGACCATAGCAGTGGAGACGTTTGCTTAGAAGTTAACAGAAGCAGAGTAATAGCATCTATCCCTCAGCTTCTCACTAGCTTTTTTTTTTTTTTTTTAATTGAGGTGGAGTCTTAGAGTTGTGCTATGTTGTCCAAGCTGGTATCAAACTCCTGGGCTCAAGCAATACTGCCACTTCAGCCTCTTGAGTAATTGAGATCACAGTCACATCTAGCTTCACCAGAAATTTTGATTTAAGACATTTGGCTTTCCAGGAAAGGTAGACTTAGATTTGTTTAATATTTGTAAGAATATTTCCTCCTGGCCCCCTCTGCACATTGAGGGCATCTGGACTAGCTCCTGTAACTGACTCTGTGAACAGCTCCCAAGAGCCCACCTCTCAGGGTCACCCCACAGTGTCCACTGAAATCCACTTAATATCCTCTAAACATTTTTGTAAATGGATTTCCTTCTGGCCTTCTCCCTCATAATAATTCAGTATTTTAATTAAATTTAACAATAAAGAGAAGGGTAACAGGTAAGGAGCTCAGCTGAATAAAATGCATTAGGGTAGAATTTCTTTCTTTCTTTCTCTTTTTTTTTTTTTTAAGAGACAGAGTCTTACTTTGTCACCCTTGGTAGAGTGCCATGGCATCACAGCTCACAGCAACCTCCAGCTCTTAGGCTTATGTGATTCTCTTGCCTGAGCCTCTCGAGTAGCTGGGACTATAGGTGCCCAAAACAATGTCTGGCTATTTCTTGTTGCAGTTTGGCCGGGGCTGGGTTTGAACCCACCACCCTCAATATATGGGGCCGGTGCCCTACTCACTGAGCCACAGGCGCTGCCCAGGGTAGAATTTCTTAACATCCTTTTTTAGTTTGATTTTTGTTATAAACTTGTGGCATGTTATTGTTAACTAAGTATATACAGCATCTGTGGTATGCCATGGTCCTATGACTAGCTGGTGAGTGCTGTGTGCTACAGCCTCATTGACACAGGGCTGTACTGTGTAACAGCTGCAGTTGGGGGGAAGTATGATACTGATGGGGCCAGCACCCCATGTGTAGTCCCTCCATAGACGAGAAAACAGTTCCCAAACTACAGCCTCCTTTCAGAGCTGCTTCTCGGACAGGCTTCTTGCAAATATGTGCCTTTGTCCCTATGAGAAACCTCCCAGGAAGGTGAACATAGGGTAGATGAACCAACAGACCCCCCAGATGGCCCTCTAAACAGAAGGCACGTGCTCTGTGCCCCCACACATCCCCCAGCCAGGTCTCCTTTCTCATGCTTCCTGCTTGTCTCAGCTTGTCAGAGCTAGTGCTGAAATTTGTGCTTCTACCAGGCAAACAGAAAACGGTATTGCCCTTCAATCCACCAGCCACATCTCTGGCCATGGGCCCTCCAGCTGGCTTGGTCTTCTCATCCTTTGTCTTTTCTCATCCTAATCAAGACCCTGGCTGTCTTATCAGAAAGAACATTAGAGGAACCAGCAGCCTGAATATTAAGACATTTGGCAAGAAAAAAGATAATCACCTGGGCTTCTGTTGTAATAGGATGTCTAGACTAATATTACTTTATTTCATTATGTCAGATACCAGGAATCTTTGAAGGATTAAAAGAGGAAAGGTTCACCTTGGCTTCTTTTTAAAAATTTAGAGGGGTAAACATCAAATTTTAATCAATTTTACGGAATCTTTTTCACTTCTCTGTTATGATCAGTTAAGGTAAAGGAGTGAAACGCTGGGATCCAAAGAGGAATCAAAGATAGGAAACAAAGAAAGGTACAAGGGAAAGAGAAACGGTAGCAAGGCCGAGGACACTGTGCTGGCCCCCTGACGTCCTTCGCTCAGGCCTGCCCCTCACTCTGCTGCGCCTCACACCCTATCACTCGGCTGGATTTCAGGGTTCTTTTCCTCTTGACTCACCCAGCTCCAGACTCTAATCTCTTTACCCAGTTCCCTGCCCAGAACTCATATGGCTGTTTTGATCCCACTTTCCACCCCCTCTCACTTCTCCCCTGCCGTTTAGAACTGTTGCCACAGAGCTGGCAGCAGAAGCCACACGGGCTTTCTGCTTTCTGGTGTCAGTGTCCTGTCTGCCTCCTGAGTGTCCTTTATTCAGGCAGTGTTGTATTTTGTGGTCATTTCTGAGATGATTAATTATTTTTCCACCTTTTCCCATTATTCTCAGGTCATCTTTTGAGAGGTTCTCAAATACCATTTAAGCACTAGTGGTAATCAGAGATGAAGCTCTCGGTGACTGCAGCAGAATGGGAGAAGGAGAAGAAAGGGGGCTGTTGTAGGTAGACGCGTGTACCGTGCTGTTGCCACGTTAATGTGCGTGCGAAACAACATTTGCATGGGACTAGGCATTGTTTTTGTGCCAGTACCATGCTGTTTTGATCACTACAGATTTATAGTACAGCCTGATGTCTAGTAACATGATACCTCATGATTTGTTTTTATTTCTGAATAATGTATTGGCTATTCCAGGTTTTCTTTGATTCCATATAAAATGAAGCACTATTTTTTCAAGCTCTTTAAAGTATGACAATGGTGCTGTAATAGGGATTGCATTAAATCTGTAGATTTCTTTGAGTAGTATGGACATTTTCATAATGTTGATTCTTCCCAGCCATGAGCATGGTATGTTTTTCCATTTGTTAATATCTTCAGCTATTTCTTTTCTCAGAGTTTCATAGTTCTCTTTATAGAGATCTTTTACGTCCTTCATTAGGCAAATTCCCAGATATTTCATATTCTTTGGCACTACTGTAAAAGGAATAGAGTCCTTGACTATGTTTTCAGCTTGACTGTTGTTGGCATATATAAAAGCTACTGATGTGTAAGTATTGATTTTGTATCCTGAGATGCTGCTATATTCCTTGATCACTTGTAAGAGTTTTGTAGATGAGTCCCTGGGGTTTTCCAGGGATAAAATCATATCATCAGTGAAGAGTGAGAATTTGATCTCCTTTGAACCTATTTGGATACCCTTGATTGTCTTCTCTTGCCTGATTGTGATGGCTAAGACTTCCATTACTATGTTAAATAGCAGTGGAGACAGTGGGCATCCTTGCCTCATTTCTGATCTGAGTAGAAATGTTTTCAATTTTGTGCCGTTCAATATGATATTGGCTGTGGGTTTGCTGTAGATGGCCCTTATCAGTTTAAGAAATGGCCCATCTAAGCTTGTTTTCATAAATGTTCTGATCATGAAAGGATGCTGGATATTATCAAAAACTTTTTCTGTATCAGTTGAGAGAATCATATGGTCTTTGTTTTTTATTTTATTTGTATAATATATTAAGAAGAAACTAAACAAAGAAATATTAGACTTAAACCTGACCCTAGAAAAAATGGACTTAACAGACCTCTACAGAACATTTCATCCTAATAAAACTGAATACACATGCTTCTCATCAGCCCATGGATCATCCTCCAAAATAGATCAGATCCTAGGACACAAGTCTAACCTCAGAAAATTTAAGAGAATATAAATTATTCCTTGTATCTTCTCAGACCACCTTGGAATAAAAGTAGAACTCAACAGCAACAGGAATCTTTATAGTCAAAGTCAGGGAAACTAAATAATCTTAGGCTGAATGGTATCTGGGTCAAAGACAAGATTAGGAAGGAAATCATCAAATTTTTGGAACAAAAAATGATAATGAAGACACAAATTATCCAAACCTGTGAGATACTACAAAGGCAGTCCTAGAGGGAAATTTGTAGCATTGGAAGACTTCATCAAGAAAACAGAAAGAGACAAAGCCAACAACTTAATGGGTCAACTCAAGCAACTGGAAAAGGAAGAATATTCCAACCCCAAACCCAGCAGAAGAAAAGAAATAACCAAAATTAGGGCAGAATTAAATGAAATTGAAAACAAAAGAATCATTGAGAAGATCAATGAAACAAAAAGTTGGGTTTTTGAAAAGATTAACAAAATTGATAAACCTTTGGCCAACCTAACCAGAAACAGAAAAGTAAAATCTCTAATATCATTCATCAGAAACGATAAGGAGAAATAATAACAGATACTTCAGAAATTCAAACAAATCCTTAGTGATTACTACAAAAAACCTCTATTCCCAGAAATATGGAAATCTGAAGGAAATGGACCAATACCTGGAAGCACACCATCTTCCTAGATTCAACCAGAAAGAGTTAGAAATCTTACTAGACCTAAATCAGTCACTGAAATACCTTCAGCTATACAAAAATAGCCCCCAAAAATAAAAGTCTGGGACTAGATGGCTTTACATCTGAATTTTATCAAACCTTTCGAGAGGAACTAGTACAGGTTATACAACCTTTTCCAAAGCATAGGAAAAGAAAGAATACTTCCCAACACATTCTATGAAGCAAATATCACCCTGATCCCCAAACCAGGAAAGGCTCTAACAAAGAAAGAAAATAATAGACCAATATCATTAATGAATATTGATGCAAAAATATTCAGTAAGATCTCAGCAAACAATTTAACAACACATCAAAAAAATTATACACCATGATCCAGGTTTGTTTCATTCCAGGGTTATAGGGTTGGTTCAACATATGCAAATCTAGAAATATAATATATCACATAAGTAAAATAGATATTGTTTTTTAATGCCCATTAAACTCAAAGTCTTGCAGCTGCCCCAGCTAAGCACGGTGGGGGGGGAGGGCAAGCCTGTGGGTGTCCCTGGTTCCCTCCCTTCTGGCCCACAGTCAGAATTACTCCTGTCAGCATCAGTTCCTGGGGAGGAGTTGAATCTGATCAGCGCCACACCTATTCAGAGGCACAGGATCTGTTGTAGAAAATTTTGTTTACTTACCAGTTGTCAACAAACTCTGGTCTGAAAATCACTTCAATAGATAGAACTCACATAGAGACTAGAGTTCTAGTAACGGAGGACCCAAAACAAGTGTGATGTAGGAAATTTAAACTCTCGTGACTTAAAATCTTAGTGAAGCATCTGAGGCATAAAAATGATGGCTGTTAACAAGCATTCCTTGTGTGTTGTTTGGGATTACTGGAGGGCAAATATCATATTGTGATTCCACCCTCCTACTGCTTACATTCCAGATACTTTATTCACTTAGGAGCAAACAGGACAAGGTATAACATTGCCAAAAAAATGTGTGCCTTAAAGTTATTTAAATGTTTAAAAGAATATGGATTAAATGACTGCTTGGAAAACCTGGATGACATAATTTCCCCAGAGTAACTGAAAACATTGATCTGAGCCTTCAGAGCGAGCAGGAGGTCTCTGTCCACCATTAGTGGCCTCACATACACAGGGTGCCAGCTGTGAGTCACCCTGTCAAGAAGATTTCGAGTGGCAGAATCTCCCCTATGAAGCATTGCTTGTGAGTGGTGGCGTCCGTCACTGCAGCCAGAGTTGTTGAGGTCTTTTTGTCACATTCCATCCACCTCTTGGGCCCTAGTGTTCTCCACTGCCCGAGGTCCAGCCTTCTGGTCTTGGCTCATCCTGTGACATCTTTGCTATAGAAAGGAACAGTGTGAAGACGCACAGCAGCAGGGTGGCCAAAGCCCATGTCACATGCAGCTTTATTTTCTTTTGATCATTTATTACTGTCTCCTCACATAGGGCTCATTTCTAAAATGCCTAAATCATTAGATTTCAATGGGAAAAAAATTAGTAATGAAGCGTAGTGTTGGGAAATTTTTGACAAAGTATTTTGTCCATTTTTGCAGGATACTAATGGGGTGAGCATGAGAGAGAGAATCGCTGTGTCTGCCTTATACACGAGTAACATTTGGCTTCTGGGTATTAGTCTGAGCCTGTTTTAAAGATTAATTAGAAACTTCATGTCATTTTACTAATTTTAGTGATATCTTTAAGATGAGTTAGAATTATTTTTGCCCCAAATGTGAAAATGTATTTTTCTAAAACAACAATGTGTACCTCACAGCCTGTTCTCTGTATGTCTGGAAAAATTTTTAAATTTCATTTGTGAGTTCTATCAATTGAAGTGATTTTTCAGACCAGATTTTGTTGACAACTGGTAAGTAAACAAAATTTTCTACAACAGATCCCAAGGGTAGAGAAGGAAGATTTTACAAAAGGGTAGTTGGTTTTCTTACTAGCCAGTCCATCACCATTCAAGGAAGTGGTTTGCCATCTTTGCCATGGCTAAGAATCACCTTAAAGGGTCTGTGACAAATACAAATCCTTGGACCACATTTTACCCTTGGAGGTTTTGATCTTATCTGTGTTTGAACCCAGGAATCAGTCTTAATAACCCCCACCCCACCAGCCTACACGCAGCTAATGCTGGTATTTCAGGATCTTACTCTTTAGAAAAATAGTCTTAGGCCAGCCATGGGCAGGCTCTGAGAACTGTGAGTCTCCTGCCTGTGTATGTATGTCCAGTTGCTAAAGACTTTCCAAACAAAGTCTTAAAATGGCCCTTGACTCCTCAACAACACATACACATGTGCACACACGCACACACACACACACACACAGAGAAAATTAAAGATCACCTCTGATTTTACCCAACCCTTTTATTTTATAGATAAAAAATTTGAGCTTCAGAGAGGTTAGTTACATTTTTGAAGGTCATACAGCTGGTTATTTATTGTTAGAAACATTTTAGCCCATGCAGGTGTGATTTTAAAGGCCATTGTAATCAGTCGAGTATACTAGGCATGATAACTATATAGTTGTAGTTTTTAGAGAAATCAGGGAGTGCATGAAGTGTGATGGAACTAGAAAGTCACCATTTTTTGTAACCCCCGTCAGGAGCAGTTGATTTAAACAACAGTCAGCTAAGGACGATGCCATTATATGAACAGAGGTCAGGAGACTTAACTATGGGGAGACTGGGCTGTCAACACCGGCTTGCCGAACGTGGAAAAACAAACCACGTGTCTCCTGATGTGATAAAAATGTGGAATATACAGCATCATCCCTGAAATAGCTTTGCTTTTAAAATTGAACCTGAATCCATCCAAACCACTAAGCTAATTCCCATTTATAGGAAATGTGAGGTTCCAGGAATGAGTTAAGTGATACCGGAAAGAAGCACATAAATCCAGATGGGTCATTCTGCAGGACAGCAAATCCATATCCTCCGTAAGGGAAGGAGAGAGAGGGAGCCCGGCTCTGAGTAGCCTTCCTTTAGATCAGAATTAGGGTGAGTGTAGATAGACTTTGTTAAGACGAGAAAAATACAAGCACAGACTAAACATCTGATGATGCTGAAATTATTTAATCAGTAATAGCATTCTGTAAGAGCATGTCCCGTGTGGTTAGTTTTGTATACTGTGACATGTAGGGGTGAAATTACATGTCTCTAGAAGTTTTAAGAATAATAGAAAGAAAATAGAAGAATGACAGATGATGAAAATGTGGCAATATTGAGAGAACTTTTGAAATGTGATGATTGGGCTGTAAGGGATTTATTGAATGATTTCCTTTATTTTCATGCACTTGACTTTTATAATAAAAACAATTGACCTTATTATTTATGTAGCCAAAAAAGTTGGAGAGCCAAGATTTTTGGAAGGTCTACCTGACTTCGTAGCGCATGGTGGGAGCTGACAGACCACAGGCTACAGCCTGTTTCAGACGTGCAGTTTTACTGGAACACAGACAGACTCTTCATTTACAGACTGTCCATTGCTGCTTTTGTACTATGGAGGTAGTTGGATAGTTGAGACCTCATGGCCCCAAAAGCCTAAACCTGTACTATCTGGCTTTTCATGGAAAAATCTGCCAACCCCTGATTTATATATCCCCCCACCCCACACTGCATACACAGGGCAGTTCTTGTCCACTTTCCCCTCTCAACTATACCGTGTTTCCTGTTTATAAATAATACGTGTTCATTACTAAGGGTATAGAAGTCGTGTCATTGTTAATCGACACACTTCAGCAATGTAATGATGTTTCAATTAGACCTTGCTAATGTGAAGTGGTGTCCTGTGGGGTGTCGCTCTGAGGCTCTGTGACTGGGCAGGAGAGATGTCATGGGCCACTGGAGCAGGCAGCTGAGACACTGTCTTCAGCTCACTCCCCCAGGAATGTGAACACAAAAGATGCCCAATGCCTCTGTCCTCACAATATGTTTACTTGGTACCAGTATTGTTTAAGAGTTGTGCGTCCAGCTGATACTGGGCTGGATGGAAGAGGTTCACAAAGACGTGGCTATGCCTCGAACATCCTTAAAGAGTCAAGTTTGTAGGCCCTGCCTGGCCAACTTCCACCCAAGGCTTGTCTGGGAGGCCAGAGTTCACTCCTGTCTCAGCCGGGCTGGGTGCCTGGAGGCTGCACTGACTCTGTTTCTGCTTAATGATAGTGCCTACATAACTTTCCATCCTTGTCCACTTCTCAGTTATTTTTAACAGCTGTCTCTCATACCCCAAAATAAGTGTGAATTTTTATTATTCAAGAGGACTTGCTTTTATACCATGATCCTTGAAGACATCAGGCTTTCTCTAGTACCAGGACATGATATTATGCTTAACTGGTCAGGAGCGTTTTGAAATGTATTTAGCTGACTTAAACCTTTTGACATAAGTATGGTTTTCAAAATAGTTAACAAGTTAGAAAATGTTTTACCCTGTACATCTGTGATATATAATCACTAAATTGAGATAATGTAACAAAAATATGCAGGGGCTTTCTTTGGGTTACATTTTGAGATAAATAATTGAGATTTTAAAAAACAGTAATAATAGTACCTGTAAAGGAAAAGTCATATTAGAACCCCAAAAAGAAATGGGTATTTCAGAGGTACTTTACCTAACAGATGCAATCAGTGAAACCTGGTTTCTTGTACCCTCAATGAATCCCCAACAAGAAATTAAAAAAAAAAAAGAAAGAAATAGGTATTTCAGGCAGTTTGAATCGCTATTTCATGAAGAAATTGAAATGTTTGTTCTCTCTTCTATATGTTAGCCAGATAAATTTATTCTTGTAGAATAGATGCATCAATTTTCAACTGCATGTTTATAGGTAGTGGTGTCTGGGATTTTGTGCCTTTGCAGAGGAGCGTTTTTGTGTTAATTACCAATTCCAATATTTTTGGTGTGCATTTAGGCATTGAAGATATTAAACTGAATAAAGCAGGCCATTCCTGCCTTCATAGAACTTAGATTCTGTCTGAGCTTTAGATTTCTACAGTTCTCCCATTTGGAAAAGGGGAATTTTTAATTTCATAAGCTGAATTTTTTTCAGGTATTAACACTAGAAATGTTCATAACCCTCATTCAGAATAGTCAGAAATTCAGACACAAGAGTCCCAGATTCAGAATAAATTGCATCAGTTTTTGTCATAGGTATATTATATGTTTCTTCATACCCAGTAGATAAGTCAAACCGTTGACGTTTATCTATCTACAAGTTTATTTCTGGTTTAGCTTTGTTTCTGCTATTTTGAACGAACTTTCTGGAAGTCACAATATGTTGCTGCAAGTGCTTAGATGACAGAAGTGTCACAGAGTATCTGTGGTTTTAGGTTCAGGAAGATTTGACTGAAGGGAAGAAAAGGGAGCTGGAACATAATGCTGAAGAGGCCTACGGCGAAAATGATGCCAATGTACGTGAGGGTGAGCGGTGTGGAGCACCTGTGTGTGTGTGTGTGTGCGTGTGCACGCCTGTGTGTGTGCGTGTGTGTGCATGTGTGTATGTGTGCGCGTGTGTGTGCAAGAGTCTGCCTGTCTGCGGTGGGCACCGGGGGTGAGCGCCTGTGTGTGCAAGAGTCTGCCTGTCTGCGGTGGGCACCGGGGGTGGGCACCTGTGTGTGCAAGAGTCTGCCTGTCTGCGGTGGGCACCGGGGGTGGGCACCTGTGTGTGCAAGAGTCTGCCTGTCTGCAGTGGGCACCGGGGGTGGGGGGGGATGATACTTGTAAGGTGCTGAGTTTGCCCAGCCTTCCTGGAATCAGAAAAGTTGTGAGAATGGGATTAGGCAGGATGGCCTCATTGCTGCCTTAGGGCTATTCTTCCCTTGTTTCCCTTCTTTAAAAGAAGCAGGTATTTACAAGAAGCAATTCTCTGTCACCAACTCTGTTTTTCTTTTTTCTTTTCATCCTAAGGCTGATGATAAAAACAATGGTGGAGCAGACCAGGGAGCCCGAGATGACAAGCACCCTGAGGGCCGGGAGGAGCAGTATGAAGAGGAGGACGAGGAGGAGGACGGAGCTGCAGCTCCGGAGAAGTCACGTCGCAGAGCTGAGATGTAGCTGGGCCAGTCTCCACACAGGGCTCGGCCAGTGGACTCTTTTCAAGCTGCTCAAAAATTAAATCTGCCTACTGAACTCTAGAATATTTAATTACAAAAAATTAAGAATTTAGACTTTAAAAAAATTTTGTATTAGAAATGCTCTTACATTTATATGAATATATTTTGATAACTTAGGTTAGAGCTCCTTTTGTATTCAAGCTAAACATGACCAAGAAGAAAACAGTAACGGAAACCTTAGTCTCTGAACCTCTTTTTTATAGATTCTGTGATGCTGGAAAGAGCATTGATTCTGTGTATGTTTTGGCCTCTCACTTTTCTGTCTCCTAGCAGACCCGCGTTGTACTGTTTGCCTTTAATAAAATAGGAGGTTTTAGAGCAGAGAGCACTGCAGGACGCTGTCCCACCTGTAAGAGAACGGCCAGTTTGCTGGCTGCTGCCCTTCTGAGCCTCTTCTGCAGAGTTCTGATAGAATGTTCACTGGTCTGTAGGTCCCTGGAGTGACATCCACGTATGGAGTGACACACGGTGGGAAAAGCCATTTGTTTACAGAGTAAAGACATTGTTTTTCAGACTTTTCAGAGCAGTTAGAAAAATGTCTGGCCTTACTTAAAATCACAGTAGTTCTGCTTGAGAGGAATTGACTTTAAAGATGAGATGATGTGAAAACTCATGGCAGCATCCTGGACTTGGCCGGTTCCCTTCAGTTTTCAGATCAGGTGTGGACACATCACCTTTCTGAAGGATGGGTGACTCGTTTAGAAACAAGTGGCATTTTCTGTGTGAGGACTGTTCTGAGTATTTCTCTTCTGACATCACCTAGGGATATCCTGTTTCAGTATCAGGTCCTCCAGCGCTGTCTGTTCCCCTCTAAGCCCCGTGCCTCAGTATATAATAGTCACCTGAGGCCAGGTATGAGCAGGAGAGCACACAGACTGGACAGTTTAATGGGATCATTTTTCAAAACAATATGGTGTTAAATACATGCTGATAAGGTCGACTCTCATGGTTCCTCTATTTTCTGAGATTGGGCCTGCTTTTTGTTTTGTATAAGGCATTTTAATGATTATGAATTATAATAAATTCCTCAAAATAAAATTAAAAATCAAAAACTTGGAACAGAAACACATTTCAGTTGCAATCATAAATATTTTTATAATATGTAAGACTGGGTTATGCGATTCATGTATTTGGTTTTATAATAAAACTGCCAAGTTAATAAAAACAGATTTCATTTTCTACCATAATTGTATGAATGTAATTTTATTTTTTAAGAACTACACTTGTGTATGGCTTTGATTACCCCACTTGCCTATCTGTGTATGCGTTGGAATATTTTGTTCAGATGAATTTGGGATTTCCAATAATCATACGTCAAATCTTACCTTTTCTGTATAAAACCCCTTTATGTAATGTAAAATGTATAATATTGTACATAATACTCAGAATACAATTATTTTGATAAATTAGTTTGTATTTTTAATGTCCTAGTTGCAGTATTTAATTATTTGAACCATATTGAAACTTGGTAATAGTTAATAAACCTATAAAAAGCAAGTAGTAAATCTTTTGAAGTATGTGATTTCTTATTAGTTTCTGATCTTCTGACATTTTTTAGTTCTTTTTCATAAAAAAATTTTTAAGAGGTCCCCATGTAAGTCAATAAATTGCAAAATTCCTCTCCTACTTATATTTTCTGTATCCTTTTCTACTTGATGAGCATGTGCTTTTTAAAACCCATTCCTAAAGAAAAAGATAGAAGTCATTTGCGCTAATTCTGGGGGAAGAAAAAGAAATGGAGGGAGGAGGCAGAAGAGAGCGGCCTGTGCACGCACAACAGGTGACCAAGGACTGTTAAATCCTCAGGGAAACCAGTGCCCACAAACCGCCGTACTCCACAGGTACCATCGCACCACTGTGACACCTGAGGAGAGCGCTAACCTCAGAGTGAGCTGGGCAGGAATAAAGTGCTACTGGTATTGATCCAGCCTATTGATCTATGACTTTGGTGCAACCAGTAAGTGAAAGGATTAGGTACCAGTGGCATGACCACAAGGAGGCACACGCATGTTTTTAAGGGACTGGTATAGTGGGACACAAAAAATAGTACGAACGTAATGACCATTTGATGCACAACAGGGATTTGGAAAAGATCCGTGACTAAGAGCATGATGTTAGCCCCGTGCACCAGGGATTGAAAGGAAAATTGTTGACCTGAATCAGACAATGGTACAAGTGTGGGATGGAATCCAATTGAATCCCCACATTACTCCCTTGAAGTTGATGGAATTCTCACAAATGAAAAACTTCATCTTCTGGAGCATTTGATGTTATTGACCTTTTTTTTTTTTTCTTTTCATTTTATGTGGAGTTGTTTTATCGCCTTGTGATACGTGTGTGTTGTGGCACAGCCATTGTGAGAGTGAATTAAGCCAGTTTCTCTTCCTGAATTTCTTCCCTGGGGCTCCTGTTGCACTGCCTTCCCTGGGTTTGTTCTTGGCATCCTGAATCTCAATCTTCCTTGAAGGTTCCTCTTCCTACCCCTTAGGGATCAGTGTTCTTCAGGCTTTGTGCTACAGATAGATCTGTTCTCTGTTCAACCCTCTTCCCGCAGGTCCCAAACCCATTTCCTCAGCCTACCTTTCTGTGTCTCATTCTACCTCAAATTCATAATTTTCAAAACTTAATTTACCTTCTTTAAACACCTAAAACCTGCTTCTCTCTTCTTGGCTCTGTGTCCCAATTCACTAACTTTCCAAAAACAGAAATGTTAAGGTTTGTCCTTGATTCTATCTTTTCTCCCTATGGCTGCTACCAAAATATCTTCAGATTCACCCACTTTTCTCCATCACTATTCTCATTCCAGCTCCTGCTACTTTTACCTGGGCTAGCATAACTCTTCCCAAACTTATTTCTGCATTTCCTCTCTCCTGCCCATCCCTAAAATCTCTACCAATGTGACTTTTCTAGCGGTAAGACTACACCACACCCCCATCATAGAATTAGATTAAACAAATTGCTTTTGCACATAGGAAAATTCCAAACTTCTTAACATGACCTATGTAATTCTTCACAAATGATCCCATCTTACCTCATAAGCCTTATAACTTTAATATTCAATCATCATAAATGTGATTCATCTTCGCCAAGCACAGTCTTGGGAATTTGGCTACAGCAGAGCCAATAACGTCCCTTCATCTCTTTGGACAAAGTGTTTGATCACGGATAGGCACCTGGCCCAAGATACGCAAATTTGTTTCTTTCCTTGGGAATTTTTGTTGGAAGGCAATTTCTCCAGATGTTTCCATACAACTGTGACACCTTTTATCCCTGACCATCTTTTCAATGATAACTTGTAGAGCAAACAGCCTTGGAAGCTGGAGCTACTATCTCCCTCTGGGTCAGAGGGCAGATCTGTTTCCTGACTTAGATAATGAAGAGAATGTCTTCCTTCAGGGGAAAGTTTGGACAGGTTTGCTATCAGCTTCTTTGTGAGACGAGAGTGTTCTAAGATCAGGGATCCTCGGTGATGACAGCCTGGACACCTGGGCTGCTCCACCTTGCACCGACATGGAATCTGAGGGGAGCTGATGTGAATGTGAAGTTCGGGCTATGAGAAATGGGTCCTTTGTCTCTGACATAGCTGTCTATGGCCCACTGCCAGCAGCCACAAAACTGTAGCAGGTTAATTTCTTATTTGTTAGGGTGCTAAAATCTCCTACCATGCACAATTCTTTACATTTTTGCAAATTGGAACACATAGAAAATAGCACATCCATTTTCTCTCCAATGGTAAAAAAAAAAAAAGTGCGTAATAGGTTCTGGGCTTCTGGTGTCCATTTATGTAGTTGTGTGGAAAAATTGTCTATAAAAATAAAGAACAAAGTAAGCCAAAAAGCGAAGCAGAATCAGGCATAGAGGAAGGCAGAGGCAGCCTCTCTCCAAGCCCTGCATCCTGCTGCCCCCAGCACCAGCCAGTTCTGTCCATAGGTTGGTTAAAGAGCTGATAAAATCTCAACTCCTTTCCACTGGACCTAGTTGGAAATGGATTTCTGTCACTTGCCACCTGAAGGTTCCTGACTAACACCTAAGTGATATTCAGTTCCCTTACATCATCATCCTGTCTTGTATCATGGTAGATTTGATACGTACTTGTACTGGGCAACTCCTTTCCATTACCTGGTTGGTTGCTCTGAGTCTCATCTTAGATACAAGTACCTCTAGGAAGGCTCTGCCTCCCACTCAATCCACATTTAAGTCTAAGTTGCACTTGCCTGTTCTCTGACAGCATCCGTATTGTCCACTTCACGGCAGGTGCGTGGAAGCAGCTTGTCTGTGTTCTCTGGGACGTGTCTGCTCTGGGATGGTGGAGACCACATTTCTGCTGCATTCCAATCCCTGTCATACAGTAGATCTTCAACAAATATGGTAGAACCACCACTGTACATTGACCACCCAGGGGACTGTGACAACCTGGTCAACCCACAGATATGGGCAGCATAAGGAACAAGGCCCACTGGACTGATACCTACATGTGGTGCGGTCCAGTCTGTGAACACTAGGTCAGCTTCAGGAGGTGGTCAATGTGGGGAGGTGGCCAACTGCAGAGGTTCTACTGTATTTATTAGATGAGCATCTTATAGTCCTCCTCTATAAAAGGGTGATATAATTATTTCAAGATGATACAGTGAAGAAGATGCAAAACTAGGAATTCTTCCCAGCTGAATCAGATTCCACCATTAATTCCAAATATATCCAGTGTGTGGGAACCATTGTTCAGCCTAATACTGTAAGTTTCATATATTAAGGAGGTGTGTGTTAAATTTTGCAATGACAGATAAGAAGAGAGTCAAAAAATTAGGGAACTCTCAGCTATGGGCTGTTGAGGAGGAGCCAAGAGTTGGAATTACTTGACCTGAAAAGGAGACAGTCAAAGGGAGAAGTAACATTGTGGGTCTGTCTTCTCCAGAGCACCAGTTGTAGCATAAAGAGTGATGAGTTTCTCAAGAAGCAGGTGAATGAATGAAGGTATAAAATCCAGAGAAATTTCCAAACTGGAATGCATTTAATAATTAATTATGATTCATAAAAGGTCTGCCTAAGCTGAGAAGTAGATACAATATCCTCTTAGAAGTTGCTTGGATCTTGTGACTGTTACGGGAAGGCCAGTTGACAGGGGGAGTGAGCTCACACTTGCACATGGGCTGTTTTAGTCTACACCCCATCTCCTCGCCTCCCTGCAGCAGGCCCTGTAATCACAGGAATGGACCCAGGACCTGAGCTGGCCAGGCCTTGCACCCCATCTTCTAGGCTGTAGTGATTGATGGAGGAAAGGGAACACGTCCCAAAGCAGCAGTCAACCTCTCAGTCTGGGATTCCTACCTGGCTGTGTGGTGATGGGTGAGACACACAGGCCAGGGGCCTGCAGGAGTTGGACCCTCATCACATGGAGGAAACCCAGTCACAGCAGAAAAGAGTGATGCCAACCCAGAGAAAGCAGCAGGACAGAGGGGGAAGAGGAGGGGATAGAGGTGGGAAGAAGAGAGATACAAAGAAAGCAAACGAAGTTCAGGTTTCCAGGTTCTACCTTCCTTTCAGTTTACTTGCCAATAAATCTCCCTCCCTGCCTCCTTTTTTTCTTAACTAATTTGAGGGTCTTGAACTAACCAAAGAAAACTGACTTACATATTGTATTTTTCTATGGGCCAGAACAATATTAGCATAACAAAGAAAATAATTTTTGATTAACTCTTAGTCATTTTGCCCCCAAAGTAGTGAGTTTTAACAAATAATGACAAGCTTTGTAACTAATCTTTTTGCCTCTTGAATCTTTCAGGGAGAGAAATCTGTGATAAAAGCTTAGGGATTATTGTAATGAAGTTATGAATACTCCTGGCATCCCCATTCTTTTGTCAACATCAAAAAATGGCAAACTTTTTCTATAAAGGGCCAGACAGTAAATCTTTGAGTCCTTTCAGGCTCTAGATCCTCTTTTGAAATTACTCAACTCCGCTGTCATACTGTGAATGCAGCCAGACACAATGGGCAAAGAAGTGAAGATGGCTGTGCTCCAATAAAACTTTATTTACATAGACAGAGGCAGGCCAAATTTAGCCTGCAGACCATAGACACTTGGTCCATATGGTCTGAACACTTGCTGGACAAACAATTATCTCAAAAGAAAATAGAAGATTTTGAGATTGTCTTCTATTAAGACTCTCTGGTTCTTTGCTATAATCCATTTTATTGGATGTTGGCAAGCACCCAATCCTATCTTAGCTGCTACATCTGTGCACTATTTTAAGTAATTGAAAATGAAATACTTCTGTCCTTTACCATCTTGGCTGACCTTGTTCTCCCAATTCCCTGTATGTTACTAATGGAGCTTGAAATTAAATGTCGTTTCTGTTTATCTGTTATCACGTACGCAGCATTTCCCATAAAGTATACATCTTCTGAAGAACTGGTTCATTGGAAAACATGAGCTTGAACAAGATGAGATGGCATCTTTTGATCTGGTGTGTCCTTCTTTTAAGTGTAAAGTGTAAGCACCAATTCTAATAACTGTCCATTG